CTTGGAAACATATTACTATCTATATTTCGAAGTGAAAATCGTTGTCACTGCTGCCTGACAACAGGCTTCTCGAAGTGGGTATCGAACCCGGGACCTCTGATTCAGGTCCCGTCGCTCTTAACCGCTTACCTACGGGCGAGCCAGAGTGGAAGATGAGTGTTAGATAAAATATATTGCTTGTATTGTTTTTTCAAATTCTAGATTATTTGTATCTGACATACGTAGATCGAAAACACACATAAAGTATAGAAAAAATGCTTATATTTGTGTACATGAACATAGTTCAAATATTGCTCAAATATTGTCAATCTCTGTATCCAATATATCACAAGAAAAAATAAATATACTTCAGTAGTGTATTTTTCATCAGTTTATTGATCTTATAAGCAAATATATTGTGTAATAATTAAGCTCTAAAACATATCAATTTCTTTGGTTGTTTGCACAATTTTGGCAGCAAAATTCAGTAGATGAAATATATATTCAAAACTATATAACAATTAAGTATCTATACTGTATCGTCTACTCACTAAGTTGAGATTAGTATATCATTTTTAAAGTATATAAAAAATTTTAAAAGACAAAAGTGTTCAAAATTTCAAATGTTTTTGATGAGACAAACTACTACATGCATACCCTAAATTTTTTCCGATACTTATTACGAAATATTAGTTATATTAGTTCAGGATGTGACTCTCTATAATTTATTTTATGGTAAACTTACTTTTTTCTTAGTGGATATTAGTCATATTGTGCTTGAATTATCAATCATATTAGCCAGTAAATCTAGTTTTTTGATAAGCGGTTTTTTATTTGTATTTTTAGATGGAAATAAGCACCCCAACTGTCTATAAACATGCATAACTTTACAAGTGTAACAATTACATAAAAAATCTAGTAATAATATTAACGTAATTATTGTAGTTGAATTTATTCATAAGTAAATGATGAATAAAATGGAATTGTATATGAAGTTGAAGAAAAAGAAATAGTTTTTTCTCCTACGGAGAGAAAGTAAAATAAATTGTGCCAAAAATATACAAGTATTCATAAGACCAATAAACTAATAAAAAATACAAAACTAAAGTATATTTTTTGACAACATTGAATATGATTTGAACTATGTTTATATTTGTTGCATCCCATCTGATAATAGATTCTCTTACGTCTTTTCGTTGTAATTTCAATCAAATGAGCAATTGTTTTGTAATTATAAAATTAAAAATATTTTCTATAATTCGATACAAATAAACTTTTCACTAAAATATGTAATGAAGTTTGTAACAAAATTTGTTGTTCATGCAAGTATGTTTGAGGCCTCGTCCACAAGTTCATTAATGTTGTGCTTTAATTGGGATAATTTAGAATTTTCGGTATTCCAAAGTTTCGTCAGTAATAAACGGTCCGTGTCGTAATTTGGTTGTACGGACGCCCATCTCTCATGGGCACATGAGTAACTCGAATATGTCGAGGGCAGTCTCCAACTCCGGGAATATTTTGTAAATGAGACTGTGGGGCCAGTATAGGGCATAACAACTACAAGTTATTTTTAGTTTAATTTTCACGGTCATGGCAAATATTTTTTAATATTAACTGCAATTAACTTTATGCTAAATACTACTACTTCAAAAAATAAAACTTAATGAAAAAAGTCTCAGAATCATTTCTTTATATAATTTTTTAATAACTACCAGTGTCCATTTGTTCGAATAATTGTCAGTACTGAGTTACAGTTTATTTCAAATTTACAAATCTATTTTGATTCTATGGTTAATATAAGTTTTTTGTATGACAAAAGTAAGTAGCTTTTGCTGTTGCATGATGAGAATATGTTACAAATACATACAGTAAAGTTTCTTCATCTCGTTTTAAATCAGTTCCAACAAAACTCTAAAACTGATCTAAACCTTCTGAAAGTAAAATATTTTACTAATGTTTTTAATGATCCTTAAAATTTCAATTCTCCTTCCTTTAATAATCCAAAAACTATTCTGTAGACTTCTTTTCTTATTGTTCACTGCATTTTTTCATATATCGCAGGTTCATTTTTTTCTATTTTATTAATTTATTATGGTTTTGATACAGTTTACCTTTGTTTCTCTAGAGTCTTTGAAAATTCCGATTATGGTTATCATTGTTAGAACTTACTCAGTCATCGAATTTTTGTAGGACCTAAAACATAAAATAAAATGAATACACATTTTTTGATCACTAATATAAAGACCATTATATTAAATTACTATTTGCTATTACCTTTGATAGTTTTAAAGTTCCTTTCCGTGTATTTTTAAAATTAATCATACAAATAGTTGTAATAACTTCCCTAGCTTAACAATGATATTATTACCATATATATCAATAAAAACGAGAAAGTTTTCAAAATAGTTTTAAATAATCGCATAAAATTTCTTCATGAATACGTGCGGCTGACATCTAGTAATTGCCTTTATGCAGTTTCGCATGTATTTCCATTACATCCAACTGGACCCGGAATAATTGCAAACCGCCATGTTACATTATGGATTCGGAAGCCAGTATTTAATATTTTTAACCGGAACACTATAGAGATTTTTTATTTCACGCGATACTAGAATTTGAATTATTCACATAATTTTTGGTTTTTGGTTATTAGATTATGATTCCATTAAATACTTGGCGAGGTAAAATGGTAATGTACAGCCACGGGACAAATAGATCTCTATAATTTATTTTTAATTTTGAAGGTATTTTACGAAGTAATAGATGCATTATTCAACCAACGCATTTTTTAAAAGAAAACCCTGATGTATATAACCATGATCTGGTATTTTGTCAGAAATGTTTATTGGTATAGTTAGAATAACTATTAAATTAATATATCTCTTATAAAATTGCTTATAAAGGATTAGTTGGTCGTTTTTACCTCACCGACATATACGTTTTCATAAAGGTTACAGAAAAGCATTTGTTGAATCTAACTTAAAAATAAAATTACATCTTATGCAATAATTAGATAATTTCTACTTAAAAACTTATAATATGGTATTGTAAACAACATTGCTCACAACCAATGAAACTAACAGCGAGAGAAAATAATATTGTTAAATATTCTCAAATGTGGCCGTTTAGCTCCTGATAGTGACAATGTTTGATTTAAGGCAATAGCTCGTTGCGCATCTTTTGCCCTCTACTTTCAAATATTGTTTTTAAAAAAATCTCAACTTCACTTGTTTTTGTGTTAATGGTAGACCACCTTCAAGCCCCGCTCTACCCTAATTCATTAATAGTAATCTAACCAGATTTAACTATTAATTTTGCAATGCAAATCTATTTCTGAATGAGTGTACCTCAAGACATCTAGCACATCAAACTAATTAAACACTATGCGCGGCATATCTTCCAAAATTCGTATTTCATTTGATGTACATAAATTGGTTATATATTCAGAATGCGGAATGCAACATGCTTGGAAATAAATTATGAACCATTAACAAATAGAACAGCGCCAGTGTAAATTCGTTATTGCACTGCCGAAGTGACACACAGTCGGGAAAGAAACGGACACTTTGATAGCAAAATAATTAAATATAAACGAAAGACCGTTGCTGCTTTGTCGTATTAAAGCATACATAAAGTGTAATTTTCGTACGATGCAAAGGACATACTGTGTGATTAGGTAAAATTTAATATCAAATACGGAAGTACACATACGCAATTTGCAAACGTTATAAACGTTATACTGTTCTCAAAGGCACTGGAGATGGAGCGGTCAACGTAAACAATTAGAAA